CACGTTTGACGGATGCTCTGTTATGTGGTGCGATTTCCAATTTGGTCTTCAGCTTTCATCCGCAAATCATTTTGAATATTTCTGCTTTTTTCTTTCAGAGATTTGCCTTAAATCATATTTCACTTAAGCTCTGGTAAACTCTGCAGAGGTTTTACTCATCCACTGCCTGCTGTCTGAATTAAATCGATACTTTCTGTACCATGCATAATTAGGGGTGTTTAACAATTAGGGCTACCGTCCATCTCATCCATGCTGCTTGATGATATGCTTGGTTTTTTTAGGAAGTCGTTGGTTAACCGGTTTTCCTGAGTAAATGAAACCATTCGACTATCTTGCCGACCAGTGCGCTGTAACACGTCTTCACTGGCTAGAACGATGTTGGTGCACAAATGTGCCGCTGAGTTTGAGAGTGGACGTCGGTAAATTCGAATGCTTGTCGGATATCTGCGACTTTCTCGGATGATATAGTTTTCAGATGATCACTACTGCATAAGCGTACATGACAAAGGGCGGTTACTTGTTTCTTTTCTTTTCCATTGTGCCCAGTGACAAGTTGTTTCAGCCGATTAGTTATGCAGTTCACTGGGAATCATACTATAGAGGAAGGGTGGAATGCAATTTAGAATCCTTTTTGAAAGCAAATGCGTTTTTTGGTAAAGGTAAAGAACTTTATTGAGTTAAATTTCAATGTCGGTTCCCCGTGTCGTTGTCAGACTAGAGTAAAAAAAAACAACTAACTTTTCAAACGTGGCGAGAAATCAATATTCATTTGGTGCTTTGCCCGGTAGGCGGCCGCCGTGTGCATCAGTGTGTATCGATTGGCTTTTGTCTCTTCCACTTCTCCTCTCCACTTCACCTCTTTTGTATACATGCGTAGATAAGGAATGGCCTTATATCCGACAGTAAGCTCGTTATTCTCACTTCGATCGAATGATTATTGTAGCTGTATGTGACAATCCGAAGTGGTATTGCAGACACAGAATGTTGGGTGACCTATAAGGTAGTGCTCTGCGATATGCTTCATTTCGGTGTCCCAGGCGCGACAGAATCTCTGAGGTCTTTCTGCGTTAGCTAAACGTTGTCTCGCTGGTGCATGTGTTATCTACTTCATTTTAAGGATCCGCATCTTTCATGATTCGCTTCACTATGCAAGGGCGGACATTGGTAGATCACTGGTCATTCGTCATTAAAAAACATCAAAATCGATCTGACGAACATACGTGTTATTTTCAACTGGGGAGGGGGGGGCACTTGAACCTTCTGAGGACTGAGGGTCAGGCTGAAACATCATCTTCGAAATACGACCTTTATAACACTTTTAGTTACGTGGGCGCAGAGTTATGCATGAAAATGCAGTCTGGTATACATGGAGTGAGATGTTCAGAACGATGTCAGTGGGGATTAAGGAGGGCTGGCATAGGGAATGTCGCCAGATTTAAATGTGTCTTTCTAAGCTATCTGTCATTGGGAAGCAGTCAGAATATGTTTAGGCGATTTCAATGTAACTCGACATTGCTACGCTACAGGGACACTGACGAGAATTCCATAGTAGCATTTGTACTACTTTTTAACTCAACGTCGAACAGTATATAAGCAAATAATCAGCGACGTTTATTCTTTTACATGATAATAAAAAACAAAAACCATCATTGAAGATGGACGCTTAAACATTGACGTTACCTTTCTGTAGAGACACAGATACCGCTATCGCTGTCGCAAACGCCTTTCTCGTGTATACAATCGTCCCCATTTTAAACGTTTGACAAGGAAAAACAGCACTAAAACTCATCTGATTGATAGATTGTGCAACGCAGAATACCTGCATCGAGCCGCAGAAATCTTTCCTGGTTTGGCCCTCTGTCATATTTCGCAAGACGTTCAGTGAGCATGCATTCGTCGTCAAAAAGTGCCCGTATGTAGATTTGAAAACCTCGTGGTGTATCTAACACGGCGATCTGTTTTGTATATTGGCCGACATGGGCTGGTCACAAGTAAAGTCATCTGCACACACATGGGTAAGGATTACTGAAAAATTGCTGACGTACCCACATTTGGGAAGTTTTTTTTGGCGTAATCGTCTCTGAAATCGTATGAATATATCTTCGTCTTGTGGTGTTAGTAGTGGTAGCATTAACAATGACAGTAGTAGCAGCATTAGTAGTAGTCGTAGAATGTAAAAACACTGAGTAGAATAAATTAGCGTACGGATATTTTCGTATTCTGGTCTTCGAAAACAGAGTAACCAGCTATCCCTCGGCATAACCGATAAAAGCGCTTCAATATTCACAGGTGGCAAGTGCGTTTCCGAGAAGCAATATTCTTAGAACAGAAACAGACAACTGCAATCATCACGGTTTTACGAAATCAGCCATCATTCTCTTCTTCAGTTTTGTAAGGGCTGCGACTCTCTTGAACAGTAGATGAGTGCTCTACGTAAGCCATGCATCTGCCAAATCAAAATAGGTAAACAATATTATATCGGCATGGGGCTCCGTTTGTAACAGAACCGAGTCTTGTGCTCGGACGTTTTACCTAGCAAGAGGCTGAAGGGAAGAGCCAACATGTTCGACTGGTCTACAGGCTTTCTCACCTGCTGTGGGCCACTACGTGAACATTTTTCGAAATGACATCGAACTATCCACCAACAGATGACGTGGTCGCTATTTTTGTAGTCTAAACTTTCCAGCTGATAATAGGCTTCTGTGTTTCATAAGCAACCGGGTTTCGGTCTCAAATATCCTTTCGCACAAGACCAGTTCGTGGGGAAAGGATACGCAGTATAGGACCACACATAAACAAATGATAATCAATCAGATCTACGGGTATGGAGAGTTATAACAGTGCTATTTGGCCGTCATTAAACGCAGACTTAATAGACTATAATTGCTAAACCTAGGTGCAAGCGGCTGAAGGCATAACATTAGTAGGAAACCTCTGGATAAGGCATCATTTGGAATGCAGAAATAAAATTACCAATAAGCGTACAATCAAGAGTAATTTACAGTAGCGCTGTTCTTCGTTTATGCCATTTCTACGACATGCCGTCTCATCATCCTTCCTTCTGCGAGGTCTGTAGAGGAACACCGACGCTACACTTCACATTTTTATTATTTCAAAGTCGTTTTGACGGCCTGTAGGGTTGCTTGGAGATCTTCACAGCACATGAAAAGGTAATAATGCTTGTTATGGAGCATAACCGCGCGTTCTCGTAAACCTTAAAGGAAAGGTATCAAGTTTCCTCCCAAGCAGTTGGAGAACGCCTTAGGTTTTGGCAGCTGAGACAGGGAGCAGTCTCGTCTTTTCTTGTTATGCGAGATAAAAAGTGAACACCCCCACACAATTGGATGGCTTGCCAGCTGTTTTGTCAGTCTCAGTCATCGCCGTTAACTTTTCACATCGCCAGACAAAGGGAACTGACTTCTGTTTATGAAAACAACCACGAAAGTGAAGCTGTACACCTGGATGTTCCTGGACAATAATTTCAAGTGCCCTATCCGCAGAACTAATATTCGTTGGTGCCAAAGAAATTCTGACGGATTAACCGCATTTATGATGGCAATATGTGAGTATATTGTAGGTCAGTATATTTTAAGGGAACTAGACAATGCCCTTGAAAACCGTATGGTCATCTGTCATATGTTGCGGTAAGTTTTCCGAGCATGAACTTTTGCATAGATTTGAAACCGCTGAAACTGAAAATTCTACCAATTAACCTCCCGCTGTCCTTCTCAACCCCCATCATTAATC